GCTCAGAGGCTGGCTTCTGGTCCTAGCGCTAGAATCTTGTGCAAACCACTTCCCCCTCTGGATCAGAACTGTGTGTGTGTGTAGCATGAGGGAATTGCTTGAAGTGACCTCTACATTACTTTCTTGTTTTAAAGCTAGTGATTCTGTGATTTTACACTGTGTTATGGTTCTTGGGGTAATAGTAAAGCCATGTATGCTGATGCAAGTGAAATTTTTCTTCGGTGAAATTTTAATTCTTTAAATAGTAGCCAACAGTCCTAAGTCCGGTTCATTGCAACTTTCTCAAATAAAGGACAAAAAATCCTCTAGAAAGGTGTGCCATTCTGCTTGCCCTCCTCTCCTTTGCTCCATGTTGTGGTCACATGAACCTCATGCAGACACACCTTTTAATTATTAGAAAGTCGTCTGGCTGTGTGAACATGAGTTGAAATTGACCTCATAAAAATAGCCGCAGAGTGGGTTTTGTTTCTTTCTTAATCTTCACGTGGTTGTGGAGGATAGTATCCATGCAGAGTTACAGTAATCTTCCCTGGGATCCCCTCCTACGACTATGAAACATTTTTTAAACCTGTTCCTGCCGAGTGGCTCCATAGGGCTTGCCTGTTACACCTGCGGGGCTGCCTGTGCTAGTGTGTGGGAGGAGGTGGACAGAGCAGGGCACGGTGTTCTGGGCCGTTCGAGAGGTTCAGGCCTTTACAAGCAAGGCTTTGATTCTATTTTTTGCTGAACTAGCTCAGCCACTTCCTGTGTTTGGCTGCGCATAGTGCCTGCTTCTCTGTGGCCACTTGAGCCCCGCGAGCCAGCGAGCGCGCCGCCGCAGCCGGTTAGCGAGACTATTTTAGGTCCCCTCACAATGGCCTTCTCATTTCCTCGGTGAAAATGAGCGAGTTGGGCTGGCACTGGCCACTTGTTAGCCGATGACAACTTTGACTTTGGCTTGAGCTCCCCTCCCCCACCCAAAATCCCGAGCTCAGCAAATATTTGAACCTGCCCAAGTTAATCATGAAGCCGCGATCTTTATCTGAGAGAGACGTGCGAGCGCCCGGGCTTTTCCCCTCCGCAGTACGGTACCGACCTCCAGTGGGTTTCTCAATGGGGAGCCGCCGCTGAGCCGCGCTGCGCTGCCGGGCGTGCGCGTGTCCCCGCGTCCGCGCGGTGACAGCCCGAGGGTCCTGCGGGCGCGAGCACTGCAGCCGGGAGCCGTGGGGGGAACGCGGGGGCTGGTCCCGGTTGCTGGAAGAATAGCTGTTTGGATTTTTTTTTCATTGTCGGATACAGGCATTTCAAAGGGAGACCATTGAAATGCATAACCTGCAAAGTAAGTTGCCTTTAATTTGTGCACTTCTCTGCCCCTTCGCTGTTTCACTGTCTTTTGTACTTCTGTGAAAGGGTCATTTCTGTAGTTTGTCTTCGTGTGTGTGTGTGTGTGTGTGTGAGAGAGAGAGAGAGAGAGAGAGGGAGAGGGAGAGATTAAATGCTGCCTGGGAAGGGCAGATGAGAGATTAGGGGAGACACTCCCCCATTTCCTCAAGGGGCACAGTGTGAGGGAAAGATGGGGTTTAGGTTGGAAATGGAGAAGGAGGTAATTACAAAGTGCTTGGCTGGAAGTTGGTGCCCGGCCAGGCGTCTGGGAGACGTGGAAAATCACCTGTCTCCCTGTCCTCCTCCTTGGGTCAGTTTGCCACATGGGATCCAGCAGCAGGACTGGTTTGCACCAAGTGCTCCCAAAGGCATGAGGCTGCCTGCTGGCTGTTAGACCTTCCACACAGCTGCTTGGAGGACTTGCCTCCCTTCCCTTTGGGGGAGGGTCAACTTTTTATTAAACTAAGAAAGAATTGTTTCTGAATGTTATCCGAGGGCATACCCCCCACCACCACTTTTACCATTTTTATTTGCATTTGAGTTTAGATTTACTTAAACCCTTAGGCAAATAGAAAAGTGTGAGTGGGAGAGGGTGGGAGGGTAGAGGTTGAGTCTGCCTTCCTCCTTAGTGGAAAAATGAATTGAACCAGAGGGGACACAAGTGAACAGTGCTCAGAATGTCTTGCCTGTGCTCTGCTAATTTATATATTTTATGAGTCCAAATTTGATAGAAAGTCTAAGAATACATTTTAAGGGCTTCTGTGTTCTTTAAATTGTAAATATGTTAAAATTGTTTACGTATGTAACATATGTATGTGTGTAGACCACAAAGCCCACTATAGTTTTTTAAATCAGTTACATTTACATGGAAGGGGGAGCCTTTTCTCCTTTCCTCCCCTCTCGTCATAGTATTGTAAATGTAAAGAGACTGGTTCACAATGGCAATGTACATTAGGCTCTAGTAAGGGTGGCAGGATTATATGCAGAATGGCTTTAAAGAACTAAAATTAATAAGTCAATTTATAGGGGAATTGATTTCTTTACATTAAATACTGCTAAGAAGGAATAATAATATCTGTCCCTAGAGTGAGGCATTTAAGATGGGGGGGGAAGCCCCCCCAAAGGTGATCACTCTCCCCCTCAAGCAGCATTAGCACAATAAATCCGGAGATGGGTTCGTCAGTGAGAAATACTTGGCAAAGATAACTCCACCTCTACTCTGCATTCTGATATATGCCTCTTTCTTTTTGGGAGATGCAATTTACCTTGACCATAATAATGTTGACAATTATGTTTATTATTTCTGCTAATAGGCATCTTCATTTCTGTTAAGAATTTTCATTGTGGTTTCATAAAGTCTGATTTTAACTTTGCAGTGTTTGGTAGAGGAGGAGATTGTCTATACATGTTTTTCTAATTATGCTTTCTAATGTTGTACATTTGTGACAGTGTTTAAGTTCTGAGTTTTCAGTGAATTATGTAGGAGTGAAATTAAATATCCAGAGTTCTTGATCCTTTCTGCTTTAAATATATATGGGAGGTATTTAAGGACTGTAAAATATACCTTAAATACACCATCTTGATGCCTGTGTAAGATTTTTAAACCGAGGAATGACTGGGCTATCTATAAACCCAGATGCACTAGGGAAAGAAAAAAAAAAAAAAAAGCTACGTGCTGCAGCATATCAGCTTTTGTCAACCTGCCAACAGCGGCGCGTACCATGCATGCTGCAAGGAGTAATAAAAAAGGAATTAGAAAACTCACTGCTGGAGAAGAACAGTCAAATTAAACACCTTTTTGAAACGATGAGCATGTATCCTTTGCAGTTCTATGAAATGTAGGTTCTTAGTGAGGCTGGGGTTGTGTTAGGGCTGGGATAGAAGAGAAATGATGGAGCAGGAGTGGTCTGGTGACATTTGTCTGACTGGATTGGCTGGGCTGTGTGATGTAATAGGTTACAGTGCAGCCCCTTATAGGTTTTAAAATGAATTCCAAGACACCATTACAAAGAAAGCCGGACTCTTTTCTTATAACTGAGCTCAGCCAAGGAAACTCTCGCACAAATGTACAACACTGTTTGGAATATGGAAGACCTGGATTTAGAATATGCTAAGACAGATATAAATTGTGGCACAGACTTGATGTTTTATATAGAAATGGATCCACCAGGTAATACTGCAGTATTCTTGTAGAAAGCTAGTTAATTTTGTGGCATTTAATTTTTTTGACAACTACTGTAACAGATCCTCTTTAGATTTCTGTTTTTATTAATTTGTTCTAATTTAATAGGAAACAGTTTGACCATAGCTTGAAAATGAAACAAATTGTTTGACTCCTGAAGCAGGCAGATCAGGCTGTGTGTGGTAAATGCTTATTCTTACTTGAATGAATATGAATTGAATTCCGGTTTTTCACTGGTGTCTTTTGTTAATCGAGGTCCTTTGCTATTTGGGTTACATTGTTGTATATCGTTCCTTTAATTAAAAAGATGCATCCTTTGTGCTGCTCTTCTCTGTTGACAGTGGATGGGGACAGTGTGGTCCTTGCAGTGATTACACTTGGTACTTTAGAAAAGCATGTCAAATGGAGCACTGATTGCAACTCAGTTCTAGGTGACCTGAAATGATTCTAGATCAAAGGTCGAGACTTTGCCTGCTCTCTCTTATATTAAGATACTGGAATGAGAAAAAAAGTTGGCTTTCCATTATTTAGTCCTAGTCTTTATAAAATATTCTTGATAGACTCCTGAAATAATTTTTGCATAAATTAAAATAGTAACAGTGCTTTAAAACTTACAACTTAGAATTTAGCTAAAAATCCTAGACTTATTTTGCTTTCTAAATTATTTGATTCCAATGTTAGCCTTCCTCTCAATTAAGAAATTCAGAAACACTGCAGTCTTTTATTTGTCACCACTTGGTATATGAATACTGATTTGACATTGAAGAAAAGAGATATGGTTTTTAATCAGTCTTGGCATAGAGAGCACAATTTATCCAGTGGAATCTTAACATGAATACTAAAGAGATTTAGGTCACAGATGAGTTTCTTAAAGTGGCTTTTGGCAGAACAGTGACTGAAATACTAAGATTAGAGAAACCCAATTCCTCGTCTTAAAACATATTGCTGTAGATGAGTTTTATTACTGCAACAGCATTTGTGGAGGACAGAAACTAAATTTGTCTTTTATAATTAAATAAGAAGAGGAAATTCAAGGCAACTCATGTGATTCTTTCTGCTCATATGTTCATAGTTTCTTACTTTAGATGGATTTGACCAGGCATGAAACTTGAATATAACTAGAACTCAGAATTAGAAAATGTTGTGACTCTGGATTTGCTTGGAAATTCATTCACAGGGCCAGCCCAATTTATTTGTTAGTCTCCAAGCTGTTTCTCTCTTTTCTCTTTTTCAGTTTCTTTTCTCTTTGAGCCATACTCTGAAAGATTTCTGATTTTTTTTTTAAGAACGTTATCTTCCATGTTTCATGGAATTGTGAATTATTGCTCTCTTTCACAGTTACTCTAATTTTTTCTACATAGAAATGATATTTATCTAAAGAAATTTAGGTCTAATTTAAAATGTTCAATGGTAGTTGGGATTGCAAACAACTTTTTTTTTTCTCCTTAATCTACAGCACTGCCTCCTAAACCACCAAAGCCCACTACTGTAGCCAACAACGGTATGAATAACAATATGTCCTTACAAGATGCTGAATGGTACTGGGGAGATATCTCGAGGTAAGGCTCCAGAAACTCGGAGTTTTTACTAGAGATAGAGAGTTTTAGATTAAGAGAAAGAAAAGCACCAGCTTGCTAAGTTCCATTTTTAGGCTATCATCCAACATAAGCATGAAGCATAGTTGGTTCTCTTCCAAAGAAGACCAGAGAAGTCACTGAGCACTGGAGAGCTGTGGGTGCTGGATGCCACAGGAAATTAAATCCCAGAGAAGTTTCATTATTGACAGAGATGTCAGGGCAGCACCAGGGTGAAGTGGCACCGCCTAAGGGCAGAGTGTAAAGTCACTCTTGATTAGGCAGTACTCTGAGAATTAATATTATTATCATCTTCAATATAATAAAAGGGCATTTTTATTCTTAGCTTTTTTTAAGAGGATTCAGGAGTTGGGGAAAACCTTTTTGGGATCACGACTGTCTGTGCTGATTTGTCAGAGAGATTGGAGTGCTTGGTTAAAAAGTAAATTAAAACTTTGTACCACAGATATACCAGTAGTGAAAGTGGGTATTTTTTTCTTTAACTCCCATGTGCCTGTTTGTAATGAGATGAAATTGATAACATTTCTATGTAAACAAAGAATAAATTAAGCTGACTATGTAATTAATGAATGTAAATCTGTAGGGGCAGCAGGGGTATAGGCACTCTTGGGACTTTCCGCTCAATTTTGCTGTCAACCTAAAACTGCTCTTAAAAAATAAAATCTATTAAAAAAAATGTAAACCTAGAGTCACTGAATCCTTGAGGTGAGCACCGTCCTGTGTTCTTTTCACTCCAGGGAAGAAGTGAATGAAAAACTTCGAGATACAGCCGACGGGACCTTTTTGGTACGAGACGCATCTACTAAAATGCATGGCGATTATACTCTGACACTAAGGTGAGTCAGAATGTAGCTCCAGCTGGGGTGCTCAAGTTGACATGAAAACACATTTCTTTAAAGGAAATTGTAATGCCATTATATTTATGTTGTATTTACAGGAAAGGAGGAAATAACAAATTAATCAAAATATTTCACCGAGATGGGAAATATGGCTTCTCTGACCCATTAACCTTCAACTCGGTGGTTGAACTAATAAACCACTACCGGAATGAATCTCTAGCTCAGTATAATCCCAAGCTGGATGTGAAGTTACTTTATCCAGTATCCAAATACCAGCAGGTAATCAAATATTCATGTTATTATAATATGTAAATAAGATACTTTCAGTGCTTACTAATGAAGTTTGAAAAACTTGACACTTGTAATCACAAAATTATAATTTTATAGTGGCTAAATAAAATTTTACTTTAAGGATTTTTCCATCTCAGATATTTTGTTAAAAAATTATTTGATTAAATACCTTATCAACTGTATTTTTCTTTTTCTTTCAATGTCTAATCCTTCCAGGATCAAGTTGTCAAAGAAGATAATATTGAAGCTGTAGGAAAAAAATTACATGAATATAACACTCAATTTCAAGAAAAAAGTCGGGAATATGATAGATTATATGAAGATTATACCCGTACTTCCCAGGTGAGTTTTCTGTGAAAATTAAAGTTTTAGAACTCTTAGTTATTAGAACTTAAGTTGTGTTATATTCAGCTTCAAAAAAAGAAAAGAATAAAAAAGGTTGAACTTTTGCAAATAAAATAGCGGGAGAGATCATTTATGAATCATTGTTGATTATTCTAATAATTGTTCATTGTATCGCTATACTTTTTAAATGAAGCCTATAGGTAGTAGAATAATAAATTAAGTTTACTAGATAAATGAAGAGGTCGCTGTGAGTTTTAAGTTGATTTAACATAATTCCTAATTGAAGAATTCTTTTTAGATTGGAAGCTAATAATAACTGGAAGTTCCACAGACTTGTCTCCCCTGAAATGGAAGTTTAACCATTATATACCCTGCCATGAAAAGTCGAGGCTTCATTTCCTGCAGTGTTTTCCTAGAGAACTTAATCTTTTCTAGGCCATCATGTATCGGGGACCGCCAGAGAGGGTAGAGGGCAACACAGATGCCATAAACTGCTGATAAAGTAGAATGGCTGTAAAAAAGATGAAAACTGTAGGAAATTGTCAAGCAGTCATCTTCCACAGATTGGGGAAAATTCTCCAAAGGATATGTGTGCTTCTGTGATACTATTTTAATGGGTTTTATGAATTAGAGTCGCACCTTGTTAACAGAATATTTACATGCTAGATAGTAATACAGATCAGATATCCTGGTAGTGTCTTGCAATAAGAAATTGTCTCTTCTATGAAAGGTATGACATTGTCTTGTTAAAATTATGTTGCAGGAAATCCAAATGAAAAGAACAGCTATTGAAGCATTTAATGAAACCATAAAAATATTTGAAGAACAGTGTCAAACCCAGGAGCGGTACAGCAAAGAATACATAGAAAAGTTTAAACGTGAAGGCAATGAGAAAGAAATACAAAGGTTGGTGACCCAGGAGTGCTTCCATTATCCTTGCGCTAGTGATAACCAAAATCCTCTAAAACTGTTTAAAGGTGATCTCGCTTTCTGTGCTTTGGATGATTAAAAAATGACAGGAAGAGAAAGCGTTCTTTACCTGAAGAAAACTGCTGGGACTCCATAGTGAAACTTTTCATAAACTTTGGGGAACCTTCATGATGCACCCAGGGAATTACAGATGCATTTCTCTTACCTGCAGGATTATGCATAATTATGAAAAGTTAAAGTCTCGAATCAGTGAAATTGTTGACAGTAGAAGAAGATTGGAGGAAGACTTGAAGAAGCAGGCAGCTGAGTACCGGGAGATTGACAAGCGCATGAACAGCATTAAACCAGACCTCATCCAGCTGAGAAAGACAAGAGACCAATACTTGATGTAAGTATTAGAAGTGGAACCTGGTAGATGAAGGATTGGGAATTGCTAAAATAAGGATAAGTTATTAATGCATTTTCTTTTTAAAACTATTTTTCAGGTGGTTGACTCAGAAAGGTGTTCGGCAAAAGAAGTTGAACGAGTGGTTGGGCAATGAAAACACTGAAGAGTAAGTAGTTACTATGGATGGGCGGTACCAAAAGATTTTTCTCATTTTAGGAAAACACATGACTTGCTTTGTTTGCAGAACAAGTGAGGAATTTTACTCAATTTGGAACATCTTGTAGGAGAAAATGTATAAACTCAGTCTTATACAGGAAAGTTTAGTGGGGGAGGATACAGATTTATTTTTTCCCATAATGCTGTAAAGTGACATTGTGTTCGTAATGATGTCCCTGAACATCTGAAAAATCCCAACATATTTTTGGAAAAATCAGAAGAGAAAAAAGGGACACAAGTATGTTTAGTATATTTTTGAAGCTTAAGTATATGTTTTGTTTGAATTATTTGAAGACTGGCAATCCTCCTAGTCAATCAATTTCCTGATCTAAACTGGACAAACAGGATTGTTTAATACCTTCTCTCTGCCCAGGTACCTGAGCATAGTTGCTGACTTGAAAACAGGAAGAGTATAACTTATTGTTGCTCACTCTTTGTCCAGGGAGGTTAGATTGAAGGCTAAGCTTGATGAGAGGAAAAGTCAGGCCAGAGAGGCTGGTCAAGTCTGACCCATGATCGCTGGCCTGACTTGCTTGAACGAGGGGCAGGAAGGAGATAGACGGGATGAGGACCCTTCCTAAGAGGGACAGTGGGGCAGGCTAGTGGCTCCCATGCACTTCATTTAGAAACTTTCTCTCCTGCCTACTTAGCCAATATTCGCTGGTGGAAGATGATGAGGATTTGCCCCACCACGATGAGAAGACATGGAATGTTGGCAGCAGCAACCGAAACAAGGCTGAAAACCTATTGCGAGGGAAGCGAGATGGCACTTTTCTTGTTCGGGAAAGCAGTAAACAGGGCTGCTACGCCTGCTCCGTGGTGTATGTATCTCCAGCAAACTATTTTTCTTATTAAACATCTCTTGAGAGGGTGTTTCATTCAGCCAGCCAGCCAGCCAACCTTGGGAGCGAGGATTTGAGACAGTTCTAATCTTGAAGAATCTTACAGTACAATAATGTAGAAGAGGAAATAGACGTAATATTTTAACATCTGTTAATAGAGTCTAGTAGAAAGAAACCTGCTGTTTAGTTGGAAGACTGGGGTTTGGGTCCCAATTCAGCAACTACTTAATCATGAGAAGTCTTGAAGTCTTTTTTTTTTTTCCATCTTTAAAATGGAAATAGCAATGCTTGGGTTTTTTGTTGTTGTTTTTTGCCTCCCACGGCTAATATAGTTGGAATCTGAGGTAATTCACATGAGAGCCCCACGCACAGGTATAAAGTACCCATCAGGAACAGGTCAAAATACAAGAGAAATGACCCTGGTCACTGTCCTTGAGATGTGTACACCCAAGAGAAGACATTTCCATCATGTGGCATATTTTCCTTTTATTTCTTAGTAGTTTGGGGAGTACTTTGAAAAGTGAGTTTTGGAGTACTAACATTTCAGAGAAGTGAGTGTCCTCTAGGAGGGAAAGGTTCTAAAAGTACATTATACTCCATGATCTACCTCTATTTAAGCAGAGAATTACTCCTACAGAAAATAAGGAGTGAGAAGAACTTTGAGTTAGGACAAGGGAATAGGAGAATAGAGAGAATATGCAAAGATAGAGAGGTGTGTAGACGTCTTAAGGACAGCCTATTAATAATTGTAGTGATGGTACTACTATGGTCATACAGCGGCATTAATAGTAACGGCTGGAAGCCACCATTTGTTGCATGCTTACTGCATTCCAGGCATCCTGTCAAGCACATTACGTACATTATGTCATATCTCAAAGCCACCCTGTTTTATTGCTATCATCTTCCTTTTAAACCATTTTAAAGATGAAAATACAGCAGCTCAGTGAAGCTGGGTTACCTGCCTAAGCCACTCAGCCAGTTAAGTGACAGAGCCACAAGTCTACAGCTAACCCAGGACTGTTCCCCACAGGGAGACTGGCCTGCGTAGAGTCTACTTTTTCATAGTGATGATTTTAATAAAAACACCTTGTGGAGTCGCGAATTGTCCTGGACAGGCTCAAAAGGCATTTCTTCTCTCTCCTCTCCTCTCTAGGGTGGACGGCGAAGTAAAGCATTGTGTCATAAACAAAACAGCGACTGGCTACGGCTTCGCCGAGCCCTATAACCTGTACAGCTCTCTGAAAGAACTGGTGCTACATTACCAACACACGTCCCTCGTGCAGCACAACGACTCCCTCAACGTCACACTAGCCTACCCGGTATATGCACAGCAGAGGCGATGAAGCGTGTACCCTCTGGTTCTTCTGAAGTTCAACCACGCTGAGGCCTCGGGAAAGCACAGGGCTCCTCTCCAGCCTGACCTGTGAATTGAGCTGCGGAAACCAAGCCGCCCATCTTCAGATGGGACTCGAGCTTTCGACAAAAAAGTAGTAGGGGAAAACATGCAGCCTAGTGCTGTGCGATGACCATAGGTTTCTGATCTGGAGTGTTTATCCTTCCTTTCTTTCCTTTTTTTTTGGTTTAATTTAAAGCCACAACGACACACGACACAAAGAGAAAAAGAAATGCAAAAATCTCTACATGCAGGGACAAAGAGGCCTTTAACCATGGTGCTTGTTAATGCTTTCTGAAGCTTTACCAGCTCAAAGTTGGGACCTTGTAGACCGAGGGTGGATGGGGCTGAAGAGCCCTGGCCTGAGGATCTTCGGTCCAGCCTGGTTTAGCCTGGGTGTTGCTGTGCACAGTGGACCCAGACGCATCGCACTGTGGATTATTTCATTTTCTAACAAACGAACGATATGTAGCAGAAAGGCACTTCCGCTCACAAGGCACACTTGGGGAGAACATCAGCTCACATATGTTCAGAGGAAATTCTGCTGTAGCGAAGTGCCAGAAAGTGTTTTGTTTCAACTTATCAAAAAACACCATCCACCAACAGAAAAATGGAGTTTGGAAAACAGGACTTAAAATGACATTCAGTATATAAAATATGTACATAATATTGGATGACTAACTATCAAATAGATGGATTTGTATCAATACCAAATAGCTTCTGTTTTGTTTTGCTGAAGGCTAAATTCACAGCGCTATGCAATTCTTAATTTTCGTTAAGTTGTTCTCTCAGTTTTAAATGTACTTTCAGAATAAGCTTCCCCCGCCCCAATTTTTGTTGCTTGAAAATATTGTTGTCCCTGTTTTTTGTGTTAATATTCATTTGTTATTCTTTTCCTTTTTTTTTAAAGAAGAAATGTACAGGATGCCAGTAAAAAAAATGGCTTCAGAATTAAAACTATGAAATATTTTACAGTTTTTCTTGTACAGAGTACTTGGCGGTTAGCCCAAGGTTAAAAAGTTCATAACAGATTTTTTGGACTAAGTGTTTTGTTGGGCAGTGCCTGATAAGCTTCAAAGCTGCTTTATTCAATAAAAAAAGAGAAAGATATATGAATATGACAAAGTATCACTGAGTTCAACAATGTTGTTTCAAGACTCTTAAAATACGGTACCTGGTGATGTTTGTTTCATAAAGAATTGTGAACTTCTTGAATCTCGGGAGGGGGGATGTGGCAGAGAGATGTACAGGTGGGTGAAGGGAGGGGTGGCGCGGTGTATGCACTTTCTCTTTCTCATGGTTGTAGAGAAGAAGTGAATAACTGCAAGGTGAAGTTGCTTGTACTTCAGTTTTTCCCACTTTGGTCTGCTAGTTATTATCAATTAATGACAATTACAAACCTCCTGGAACTCTAACACAGTGCAGCTGGCCACATATTTCAGTTCTTAGGAAGGGGGTTAGGCTCCGGGAACAGTGTTCACCTTTGTTGGGAACACTGATTTCAAAGTATAATCTATATGTTTAGAAAATGTGTCCCTTTAATGTTAGACTACCCATTACAACATGCATTTGTTTTAGAAAAAGCATGATCTGAAAAAATTTTTATCTGGATATTTCCCTAGCTTTCCATTCAATTTAGATCATAAAGCAAATAGACATGATCATAACTGTTACTGCTCTGGGCTATGGGGAGCTCATTCAAGTCATGGCCATTGCAGGAATCATGACCCCAGTCCTTCTCATTCATCCACATGATGGTATGTGTTACACTTCACTGTGGGGGAAAGGCAGGGGTTGTTAGAGTAATCTTTCCAGTTTAGGGCCAGAGTGAGAGGTCTCTCTCCCTGATTGACGTATGCAAAAGCCTTTCTCTGCAGTGTCAATGTACATGTGTTGGGAGGAATAAAGGATAATTAAAATCATGGTCACTACCCTGGTAGCTTAAAATGGAATCTTACAATTTCAGTTTTCCTTTCTCAATATTAGATTCAGTCACAGCTTTATTTCTCTTCCCTTCAAATACTGGGGTGAGGGTTTTTTGTTTTGTTTTTTAATGTTCCTTTTAAAATTCTTTTGAAAGAATCCATCTAGCAGCTGACTTAACTGTAGAATGTATTTTTTTCTCTTTACATGAAGCTACTCATATCAAGAGCAATAGTCAGTCTTACAGCCAGACTGTCAGCCGTCAAACTTGACCGTACTGATCTGACCATCTCCCTCTCATCTCCAGACGATTGATGATCTCCCTGGTTTTAGTCTGAGTGTCTGCTTTAAAACTATCCTTCCATGTCACACAGAAGTCTAACAATCAGTTAATAGTACTTTATAAACTAGAGATTGTTTTTTTTTTTTGGTAGCACATCCATGTACGTTATTAAGTATAATTTTCATTTAATTTCTAAAATATAAGATCTGAGATGGAATGTTTCATTAAAAGCTACAGTTTTGTTAATGTTTTTGCCTCAACACTTTGCAAGATGCCATGATATTTAGGCACTTGCCTTGTTTTTGCATCTCACAAGCATAAATGCGATAGATTTTTCTTTAAACAGCAAAGGCAGGATTCATCGTTCCCCATCACAGTGAGTTACAGCTTACCCATGATGTTACACCTCTGCCAAATGCCTTTGTGATTGTGCGTAGCATGCTCACGTTTGTCTTTCTAGATGTTTGACCAGCAGGGCTCTTTGGGTTGAATCAGACATGTCATCTCCTCACAACATTGTCTGAGTGGCTCACAAGTATGAATGGATCCAGCAGAGGCACTCCTGATACATGCTTTTATCCATGCATTGATTCCCCCCCGCAGCGTAGCATCCTGAACATAAAAGCCAGAAGCCAAGCTGCAGAGAGGCTGTGATAGGGCTATAGAAGTGGAGCATTGGGATTGGATAATATACATGAAAGAAAAACCATAAGCATGTGAAAAGGCAAAAAGCATGTGTTTGCAACATCTGATGACTTCACGGCTCTTGATATCTGTATATATGTATATGTGCATGGACTGTGTTTCCAGGACACCTTTCAGCCAAAACAGATCCACAGTCGTTAAGTTCAAGTACACAACAAGCAAATGTCTAGTAGAATTCTTGTATATGTGTATGGGTTGTTTTTTCTTTTGAAGTTGCTTTGTTTTGTCTTATAAAGGTGAAAATTGTTTGCAAGTGAAGTGAGAAGTTCATAATTCTTTGGCTTTTTCTGTTTTTCAAAGTTGCTCCTTTTGGGGAGCTGGTCTGGATGACTCGCTTAACGTGGAAATCCTTGTTTTCAGTGTGTCGAGTCAAAATGTGTTTATGTGAGCTGTCACTGTGGGGAACCAATTGCTTTGTCATATAGCTGGTTATGAACTAGTAACGTGTTTGGGAAGTCCTACTGATGTTCCTTATTGGGAGAAAAATTCTGCTGGTTTTAACAACTGTGCTTTTGCTATGCATGGTATCCAAGTCAGTTGGAAAGCAGACCCTGAAATTTGAGTTCAGGGTCATTTAAGAAAGGGGCAGTTTAAAGCACAATGCCTCACATGGGACAAAGTTCCAAAATACCAAATTCTTGTTTTTTAAAACTCTGGTTATATAAAATACTGGTATTTTGAGTAGGGAGGGAACTGAATTGGGTTCATTGGAAACACTATCCAACTTAACATTAAACTTGTCACCATGAGCTAGCATTAGCTGCCCAGGATGCTGCTATTAAAACAAAAACAAAAACAAAAAAAAAAAACATTTATATGTGTGTATTTTTTAAAGCTACGATCTGTTCAATGTTTTTACAAATCTGTTTATATGACATTGTTAAAATAAAGTTGGTCTTTTGACGAGAGGGAGGATGTTGTGGTCAGTTGTAATTTTGCCTTTACAAGGCAACTGGGGTGGGGGGTGGGGGGAGTGTACCTCCTTGACATTTTGTTCAAGCTATAGATTCAATGGAGCTATGTCTTGTTGTTTTAAGTTGCTTTAATGCATTGTATTAGGTCTTCAAACAGAATAAAGGTTGTTTTGAAACTTAAGTTATGGTTTGAAATTTCAATTATCACCTAAGAAATATTTCTAAAACCGTTCTCTTGCTCTTTTGGTTAATAAAAGTTGCTGCTGTTTTTCTAGTCTCGCACCCACCCCCGTGCATTCTATTATCACGTTATCTCGTTTTTGTAAAGTGAGAAGGACATGAAGAGTGGTCACGTGAATGACGGTTCAGTGTTGTTCATGTCATTTCCCTATATCCTTAATGATGAAGAGAAATACCTCTAGGAGATGTCATTTCAAGGTCTGTTCTTGCTATAAGAATGCCCACTGTCCCCTCTATCCCTCCCCTCCTCCACCATCCAACCCCAAACCTTCAGAATTGTTGTCTACAAACTATGTTCATTAAGGAATTGCTTTTGTCCCCCGGTCCTCCAGTCTGCATATGTTGAGCACTCCCGGTGCAGGGACAGTATGAGGCACTGTGCAGCATGCAGTGTGACATGGGGGGTAGACGGAGCCAAGCCACACTCCAGATTCAGCTTTCACACAGTAGCATCTAGTCAATATATACAAACTATTCTTAATCTGAAATAGCTTTCTCATTTTATTTTTATTGCTGAATGAATTTTCAACAGTGCCACTTCACATGTATATGGCGTTTACTTTACCTGTAGGCACAGTGAGGCTCCTGGACATGAAGACATGGTCTAGTATGGGGATGAGAGGGGCACATAAATAATTATGGTCATGGCAACCATGACTAACATTTGTTGAGTATGGCAGTAACTCGGAGATTCATTTCCTGTTTCTCCCTTGCTCTGTTCTGTACCACAGAGAACCACATTCCCAGGGTCTTTTGCCCTGTGGCTTCAAGGCAGTGAGTCTCCCCCGTGGCTCCACTTCCTGCCAGACCGACTCTCTCTTTAGGGGTTGAGCAGCCCCACTATGCTCTCAGTAGAAGCCTCTGCCTTCTGAGCTCTGGCAACATCGCCTCCTCCCATTTTTACTCTAGCCTAAGCGGAGTAGCAGCTTTCTGCCATTGCTAAACCTTTGGTTTCTCTCACCACCCCCTGTTGGCTTTTGAGCCCTTCCATCACCTGAGTAACCAATTCTCTTTATTCAATCCTCTCTATAAAAGCTAGAATCATTTCTTTTTTCTTGAGTGGTCTCTGATTGATATGGCAAGTGATTTTTACCCATTAACACTTCATATGCGTTTATGTGATTTAATCTTTCCACAACTGAGTTAGACGGTATTATCCCTATTCTACAGATGAGAAAACTGAAGCATAGACTTTAAATGACTTAAGATCATGCAGCATTCAGAGCACAGAGTAGAGCGCCTAGGCGGTCTGACTCAAGCCAGAGCTCTTCACCGCTGTGTTGTAACAGCCTTGCAATGGAAAATGCACTGGGCCATCAAAGAAAAGTTCACCGTCACTTTCCCTCCTGGGGATCTAATCATGTGGCTCTCAATTAGTGGACAGGGCACAAGTGGTCAATGTTGAACAGCAGGGAATGGCCTGGGTTTGCTTTAGACCAAGAGTTCCTGAAGTGTGGTCCCCAGACTGACAGCATTAGCATCAGCACCACTTGGAAATCTGTTAGAAGTGCAAATTCGAGCCCCACCCCCACCCCCACATCTACTAACTCAGAATAGGACCCAGCAGTCTGTTTCAACAAGCTCTCCAGGTGATTTTAATGCCTACTAAAGTTTGGGACTCACCACTTAAGATCACCCAATTGTTGAAAGAGTACTTGTAAGTATTTTAATTAAAAGCCACCACCCTTAATGAGTGATATAAATATATTTTACTTTATGATTTATGCTCATAGTATAGACAGTATACAGGAAAGATAATAGACTGATTTATAGCTTAGGAGGTCCAGCTGGCCTTAGCTCTGTATTTAACCAGCTGTGGGAACTTGACCAACTCAGTTCACCTGTCTAGGCCTCCAACTCCATACCTGTCAAATAAGGTTATGAGTATTAATAGTCTCTGGGACTCCTTCTACAGCATATGCTGGGATTTGGTGTACTGAATGAGACTATTCAGTTCCCCAGTTCTCTAATTTATGATTTGGCCACAATTACAACCCACAGCATGAATGGTGACTGCAGACCACTGTAGGTGATTGAGCTCCTTTGTGTTGTCAGTGATGATGGCCAAAGCTTTAGCAAAATTAGGCTCCATCTATCTCGCTGATATCTTAAAGCTACACTTCAGGTAAATCAAAATGGGCAGCAAGTTCTTGATAATGTGGAGGGGAGTGCTCTTGTAAATGACACTTGGACCATCTTTCTGAAGCATGAGGCACTAAGTCAGAGAACTTGGCCTACCAGATCTTCTGGAGCATGGCAGGAAGTGGGTAAGTTATAACATGTTAAGACCCGACACTGTGTCAACCCATTAAAAAAAGCTTTTTTCTGAACTTGTCCCTTAAAAAGTCTGTCTAAAAATAAGAATCCTGTAAAGACTTAAAGGTAAGACTGGAAACCATAAAACTTCTAGAAGAAAACATAGGAAAATGCTCCTTGGCATGGGCCTTGGCAGTGATTTTTTGGATATAACACGTAAAACACAAGCAACAAAATTAAAAATAAGGGGGACTATATCAAACTAAAAAAC